GTAAACATTCAGCCACGTGACATTCAGCCAACATCTCGCGAGAGTTTTACACAAGACGGATCCTTTCTAGCCATAACCTCACAGCAGCTCCTCACTGCACAGCCTCACGAGCAGCTGCACGTCGCTTGACCAATCAGAGCACACTGGGCCCACAGGGAGGGGGGGCAGGAGCTCCAACAAGGCGTGTAGGACAGAGAGTGAATACACATACTATACAGAGATGCTGTATGAGAAACTAATGTGAGTTTGGAACATTGAACAATATACTTAAAAAACATACAACAAATAAGATGTATTCATAGCAGAGTTTATCGAGTTAGATGTAAAAAGTAACAAACAGAAAGGAAAACACATTTTATTAACTAATTATTGTGAAACACACCTTATTCAAACTCAACAAAAACACACTAAAACGTATTAAGCGTCTTCAGTCCCTCCTCTGTTCCAACCATCACACACTCTGATTAGAAACTTTGAAAGATAGACTAAATAAGTACCGATATAACAAAACATGATTCAAAGAAGTAACCCCATCACATTTGAACAGTTCAGTAAACCCTGTTTTCCAGCATGTTTGCATTTTCTGCTTTTTAGCAGGTTTTGGTGCGTTTTAAAAAGTCTGCACGTACACTCTAACGTTAGTGAAAACAGGGGTTAGGGAGCTAAAGGAAAGCTGGATTGTGTCAACTTTAGACAGAGCCGGGGTCCTCCTTTTGAATTGTTTTGCTAAGCCCACACATGGCTTCAGTTTCATGTTTACTGTACTGACATGAGAGGGTATCATTTGTCTCATCTAACCTCAAAAGTCAGCAAAAGGGTATTTCCTAAAAACTACAAACCATCTACAAACGTTTGCTTGTTATGAGCGCTGAATAAAAAAAAATTATTTCTTTGAATGTTATTCTGAGCCACGTTACTTTGTCTGTTTCCTGCAGGTTACCCGACCTACAAAGAGAAGGTGAAGCGGCGTCCCGGAGGTCGTCCAGAGGTCATCTACAACTACGTCCAGCGGCCCTTCATCCGCATGTCCTGGGAGAAGGAGGAGGGCAAGAGCCGCCACGTGGACTTCCAGTGCGTCAAGTCCAAGTCGTCCAGCAACCTGGCAGCCGCCGCAGCAGACATCCCCCAGGACCCACCGGGGCCCCAGGTAGACGAGCTGGACACTCCCCCGCCCGACCCCCATCAACTGGGGCTGGGACAGGACAACAGCCCTCAGCCCGCACAAGGCTGCGAGGGCCCCCACCAGCAGGCTCAGGACCCCCACAGCCAGCAGCAGGGCAGCAGCTTCTCTCAGGACACATACCACTACGAGCCGGACCCCGACACCCCCTCTCCCTCTGCATGAGGTCACACTGACAGCAACAAGTGCTTCCACACACACACACACACACACACACACACACACACACACACACACACACACACACACACACACACACACACACACACACACACACACACACACAGTTAACCAGAACTAAACGTCTCTGATAATTGTCAGACTACGGTCCCTGCAGCAGCCAATCAGCACACAGTTCCTATGCCAGTTAGAGAGCTTTTGTACACTTGTGGCCATCAGTAAGAAGCCCCCCCCACCCCCCCCACTCCGAGTGGCAAACACCACTTTGCCTTGTTCAGCACTCTGCTGCAGCCTCACTCAGGCCCAGGGGGAGGAGACGAGCCCAGCAGCACCCCCCACTTTCGTGTGTGTGTGTGTGTGTGTGTGTGTGTGTGTGTGTGTGTGTGTGTGTGTGTGTGTGTGTGTGTGTGTGTGTGTGTGTGTGTGTGTGTGTGTGTGTGTGTG